AGCGATGGCCTCTAACCTACCAGCGATGGCCTCTAACCTACCAGCGATGGCCTCTAACCTACTAGCGATGGCCTCTAACCTACTAGCGATGGCTTTTGCTTGCATGAGGGGGCCCCCCCTGGCACAGGTGGCGGGGAAGGGGCCGAGTGTCGAGGTCTGAAGGTGAACCAACTAAACAAAAAGGAAGACCAGGGAGAGGAAGTCCCGGAAGTAGTACCAGCAGCCATCAAGGCCCAACCAGTCACGCATGTCTAGCCAACGAAGTGCCCTTCTTCAGTCGTTTTTGCAAAACATTCCACGTCTCATGAGGATACGTCCAAGAAAAGGCACAAGGCGTGTCCGGAGAGCAAGGATCAATGGCAGGCATCCAATCATACGAGCAAGGGCGAACACGCTGATGGAACTCAACCTTCAAGATTTCAGCAACTTTGAGTCTGGCACGGAAACTCCGGGCGATGAGACCATCCAAAGACACACGTTCCAGCTCCTTGCCTATATAAGGAACAAATGCGAGCGCGGCGGACATGCGCCGGAATAACAGGTTGGCAACACAGTGAGATCACCTGACTGACCATGCCAGCAAATTGAGCCGCACATTCATTCCAAGTATAATTGAAGGCAGCAGCCTCAGACTTAGAACCAGCCCAAGCGAAGGTGTGGCAGGGTGTAGCAGCAGGCCTATGCAACGGGATATAACCTTTGGCATAAAGCACAAAGCTCAGCGCAAGTTCCATCCACGAAACACCTACTCTGGTGTGTTCTGGAGCTGATGCAGGATCATCCAGAGGCCACACAAAAGCGCTTAGCCAGGACAATATGCAGAGCAAAAGGCTGGAACCCCAGTAGGAATGGCCAAAGAAATGGTGCTCGGTTGCCGCAGGCAGATCCAGTCTCCATCCATGTGGAATTGACCATCGACCCAAGAGGTCACAAAAGGCTGAAGCCTGTCTAGCCGGGTGAGGTTCATCAGGATTAAATGAAGCAGGTTGGTGAGCCTCCACTTCCTTCCGATGAATCTGCAATGCCAGGGAAAGCTGATAAAATTCCTGCAGGAGACGAATATCCTCTTGGCCCTGGCGGGCGTGGGCTAACCAAGTGTCTGTCAGGGCCGTATGGGTCCGAAGACATGCAGCCTCAGCCGCCTGGTCTGCGGCAGCATTGCCCAAGGCATGATAACATTGCAAGTCCGACAACATGGCGGGAGAGACATGGCCCTTAATCTTTACTACCCGATTACAATCACGAAAGGGAAGGTCAGCTATACGCTGGCACAGGTCAGGATATGGATGACGGTGCAAATCCTTACCCTGCACCATTGGAGCTGCATGAAACGTGGCAATCGCACTAGCCGAGTCCGAATGAATGATGGCATGACTGAAACTTTCCTGTGCTTGAATGATGGCTAACAGTTCGGCATGGTGAATTTGCTGTTCCTGTGGACAGAGTTCTTGAATCACCACATGGAGGGGACTTGACCCGTTTCCTTGAATCGCTGGGCATGCCAAATGCTTTCCTGGTCACTACAACAGGAGTCAAGCACAACACTGTACCCAGCAACCGCAGGGTGGGCAAAGCAGAGTACTGGCAGCTGCCATCAGCGTATATACGCAGTGGACTATCCGCCGTAATCCCCTGAAGCAAGGACTGTAGCAAAGGTCCATGCAAAGGACGCTCTTGGATCGCAAACTGAAAAGTGAATGGAAATTCCTCATCTACATTCTCAAAAATGACAGGTAGTTCCGGCAAAAGCGTATCCACCTCCTGGAGGGTGGTCAGCACAAGGTGGAAAATTTGTCACGAATTGGCTGGGTAGCCGTACATGAGAAGTATCGATGATACTTGGTGTCTTCCTGGCCGCACCAAGGACAATTGGGAGTGACCTGGTCGTCCCAAACAGCTTGTTGGCTCCGGGTCTGAAAGGCACCCGCGACTTCACGAATCAAGAGTCGGCGTTCAGAAGGGGTGAATTTGGCAAGAACCGTTCTGGTCAAATGCAGCAGAGCATCTGCGCTGGTGCTTGGTCTTGCGCTCCAAGGGAATGTTGCGAGCATGCTGTAGAGCCAGATCAGGCTATCGAGCGAGTCAGAATCTCCTCGGCCGTCGAAATCAGCCAAGGTCACAGTTCTATCCACATCCAGGAGGAGATGCAGGGAATTGCACATCATCGCCATGGATGAAATAGGCAACGGGGTCTCCTTGTGACCATCACATTCCCCAATTCAATGACATGTGAGAACCTCATTTGGTAGAGTGCAAACCAAAGAGCCTTCTCAATCCACATTCGATGACGGTGTGCATGGAAGCCTGCAACCTGCTCGATCAGGATCATCTTTGGTCGAGGGAACTTGCACAGGCCTATGCTTCGCATGAACAACTGACCCTCCGTAGCCTGAAACTAGATGGCCTCTAACCTTCTAGCGATGGCCTCCAACCTACGAGCGATGGCCTTTAACCTACCAGCGGTGGCCTCTAACCTACTAGCGATGGCCTCTAACCTACTACTGGCGATGGCCTCTAATCCACTAGCGGCCTCTATAACCTACAAGGGACGGCCTTACAACCTACTAGCGATGGCCTCTATATCCTACTAGCGATGGCTATAACCTACTAGCGATGGCCTCGAACCTACTAGCGATGGCCTCTGACCTACTAGCGATGGCCACGAAAACCTGCTAGCGATGGCCTCTATACTACTACCGATGGCCTCTAGGCTATAGCGATGGCCTCTAACCTACTAGCGATGGCCTCCGACCTACTTGCGATGGCCTCCAACCTGCTAGCGATGGCCTCCAACCTGCTAGCGATGGCCTCCAACCTGCTAGCGATGGCCTCCAACCTACTAGCGATGGCCTCCGACCTACTAGCGATGGCCTCCGACCTACTATATCGATGGCCTCCGACCTACTATATCGATGGCCTCCAACCAGCGATGGCCTCCGACCTACTACAGCGATGGCCTCCAACCTACTAGCGAGTCATGGCCTCCAACCTACTAGTGGTGGCCTCCAACCTACTTGCGATGGCCTCGCGCCATGAAGAGAACAAAGAGTTCCCAAAAATGAAAAATATTTGTTTGTATGTTGTTGTTCTCGTGGTTGGTGAGATATTTGCCGACTAAAGGCTGGAGATCCCAGGTTTCCGCCAAGGCGGATGCTGTCCGATGTTGTGAGAGGGTGGAGGCCTCACGTTCGCTGGTGTGGGCAGGACCATCCAGAAGACGCCGCCCAGCTTGCAAGTTTGTTGAGCGGTACACAATTGCCATCGGCCATGTTGGGTGGTGTGGGACATCAATAGGCACACACAGTGGCACACACACATATTGCCATGACAATGGCAAACCACCCCAGAGAAAGTACACTCAATGCATTGGCCAACATGTTCGTTCAGGTTCTGTTCTATAGATGCTACGGTTTCCCAATGTTTCCCAGATGTTTTTTGTTCATTTCTAGCTACTTGTCGTGGGTCCCACCGTGAACTACATACACCATCCACATTTTTGTTGACCCACCAAACCACCAAATGATTGACTTAGGCCGTCATCGCACAACCACACATTTTCCAAAACAAAACCTCACAACGTAACAAATTTTTGCGATTTGTACTGGTCCCATGGGTTTGGGCGCTGTCAGGGTACTTGCAATCCAAGGAAGAATGGCAACCAGCAGTGCCAGCGATCAAACCACATGAACATGCAATCAGACTGGCACAGTGCCGGGCAGTCCGGGTAGACCCGAGGATTCAGAAGTCGCTGCACAAGATGCTGGGCAGCGGAAAGAAGGGTGGAGCCGGTTCTGTCAGCACTGGCTTGAACAGCGATCAAGATACGAAGCTCGGCGAAGAGTCGACCGAAGAGTCAACCGGGCGATTTGAAGTCCAGCGTTTGGGATTCCGGGAGGTGGATATAAAGATTATGAAGATTCTGCGAGGCAAACAAACATGTGCTTGGTGCTTTGCTTTTGGCGGATCTACTCGAAACTAGCAGGAGCCCTCTCCCCCTCCGAGCATTCGTAAACAATCGCCCGCCTAGTAGAAGTCCTCCTAGAAGTCCTCCCCTCCAATACTCCAATACTGACGCTTCAATCACAGAATCTCCAAGGAGCAGCAGCCACCACAGCAGTGGCAAGAATGATGACAACTGAGTGGCACGCCCAGTAAATCCCTGGTACCCGTTGTGGTTGTGGGGCTCCTCATCATAGTCCCCTGAATGTTGGTTTGTGGTTCCAGGGTACCAGGATGAATACATATAGATTTGGGCGCAGCTATCGCGAAGCTATTGAAGCTTCGGAATAGATCTTTCATGTGGTACTTGTGGCTGGGATCTTCCAAGTTAATGTGCGTATTGCTGAGTAAAGCTTAAGAACGACATTAGAGTTACACTCTAGCAGACATGGAAGTAATGATGCACTTAAACAGGTGACATGCGCATAAGCAAAAAACACCCCAACATGGAAGCTATTAACATAGAACTGGTCTACTTTTTGGAACTGCTGCAAGGAATGAACCACCATAGAACCAGTACTCCTCCAACCTCTCCTGACATAGCCACGTATCATACTTTCTGCTAAAGCCATAGCCATTCGTAAAAATGACAACACTGAACTGCGCAAGTCCATCACATTGACCGGGCCAAGTTTCATCACATTCTTCGGGAGAAAGCGAGGTGTGTGTGTGTGTGCATTTTTGGATTCCAGCCCACACTGGCCGTGAGGCCAAAATTTAATTTAGGTTTCGAACACTGACATGCCGTCCAGGCCAGTTCCCTTCCAATTCATCAAAGTCGCTATTGAGAGCGGGCATGCTCCCTAGCGTTGATGGAAGAACTCCCGCACCAGCTGATGTCGAGGTAGATGCCTCAGGCACCTCAGTTGGTGCAGGATTTTTTTCATCATTTTGGAGCCGACTCGACCTCTTTCCTGAAGTGTTTCCTCTAAAGTCTCATTGTGGATGATGTTCTGGTTTTGTTCTTGAGGATTCCTTGCCATGGCCACAGGAGGCGTTGAAGGGAAAGAGGTGATGAACAAAAGAAAACATGTAAAATGTAAGCATCAATGCGTGTACTACAACTGTACCGTATGTGTTTGCTGTGTAGTGTACTGTTGTATCCGTGACGATTCCTGAAAGTTGCAAAATCAGCAGGTTCATCATTTGAACAACACGGCTCCGTAGCTAGTAAGTGTTGTCAATCCCATCCCCACCACCACCACCAGTGGTGTTGGGATGCGAGATCTCGTGCTTTGACGTCGATTTCTTCGTTACCTGAAACAATACCACTGAATTCGATGCACTTCACCTGAGGAGGCACTCACCTCCAGAGATGCAGAGAAACATGGATTTCCTGCTTCTTTCGGCGTTGAGAAACCACTCCGCCTGATCGGGTGTACACTCGGACAGGGGAGCGGGAACAGGCAACGAGTGGAATTTGCTGCCAACACATAGGGCATCCTGACAGCATTCTACTCATCCAGGGAGTCCGCTGGAATGCCCGGCAGCGCAGCAGTTCTGGGTCTGGTTTTGGATTCCAACCGACGCTTTCATGATGCATAGCCATGCAAGGCCTATTTCTTGAAGGGCATGGATTGTGCCAAGCTGCTTAGCTCATATCGCAACTGTCCATGCTCCCTATGCTGAGTTTACACGTTTTACATGGAAATATTTGTCGAGTTGTTCCCAGTTTAGTAGCAACTTCGGGACTCGGTGAGAGCACCAGTGAAAGAAAAACATCCAAATTGACATTCTTTTTGTCACGCGTGCTGAGTCCCACACCCGCCTCACGCTTGCCATCAGGATTTGAAGTTTTGGTTTGTAACTTTCAGCGTCTTTTCTTGGGCTGACCTCCGAAGGAGGAAAACTGGCCTCGGATTTGGCCATCGGATCACAGGCTGGCAGAGGCCGGCAGGAGGTCTTGTTCAGTTTGTGATGTTTGAAGGCGTTGCCTTTCTGAAGCCCAGATCGCCATCTGGGCCATCGGTTCAGGTAGCGTGTCCGAAGTCGTTTTTGAGTTGCGACAATCAGCCACCACTCTGGCGCCACGAACAAGGATGGATCGGCCCAGAATCCAAAGCATGTTGAGGAATAGAGGCCCCGATTTGGACTGCGTGGTGCCCGTCGGTCGGTTTGTTCGCACTGAAACCTTTCACTTGTCAGGGTCAGGTTGATTGAACGCACCGGTGCTTGCGCCACCTTTCAAGGCATCAGCAAGCATCCTTTGCGAGAAGTCAAGACCCACGACCTGTCGCGCTAGTGTGAGAAGACCGAACATTTGCGCCTGCATCACCAGTTGGTCAATGTCAAGGAATGCAGGGCTAGGATTTTGTGGGTTGTTTGCAAAAAGGAAATGTTCAGCTGTTTACGGTTCGTTTGGGCCCATGATAGTGCCCATGATGCTTTCATTCAGAAAACTCCTGAAATGACCTGAACTTCATGTTGCACAGGCGCCCCCACCAGAATGCCCAGATGCGAGTCGAAGCAATCCACGCCAGGATGAATACGATGAATGGGGTAGTGAATGGGGTATAGACGGTAGAGATATATGCATTCGTTAAACTATGTTAAACGGATTATATATTTCGTGGAGATCCAGATCCTACCAGGTCGTCGTCAGTCTTCGCCAGACAGGCGAAGCGATGCGATAAGCCGGCCGGATGCTGTACTGTACGGCATCTCAGGGTTTGAACGGCATCTCCACGCGGATTCGAGCAGATGATGGCGCCAGCCGCCAACATGAGATCAAGTCCCTGCGTGCGTTTGTGTCAAGTGCGGCACTTCCTTGAGTCTTGAGTGGTCTGAAGAATGGATTACTTCACGAGCTACAGGAGAGTTTAAAAGGCAGGCGCTCCACGTCAACAGGCTGATCTTCGGAGCTGCGTAAAAGTGCCGCATGTCCTGGCTCTTAAAAATGTCAAGTGGGCAAGACAGCTGGCTGCTGAGGTGTGGCCTTTGCTGAAGATTGATGAATAGAGGCTGATTGTTATTCAGAGATTCGCATCATTCAAATTGCTTGACCGGTGTTGGCCTGGCTGTTGTATGGCCCGTGTTCTCACCTGTGCATGTTACTAAGAAGGGGCGGGGCATCTCAATCCACGGATTGTATAATAGTCATTTGATTGCCAGGAACATCCAGGAACATTTGGGGGGTTGGCATTGGTGACTCACAGCGAGTTGGACAAGGTAAGCGCTTTCTGCAAACTGGTCTCGTCCGCAGACATTTGTTTGAAGTAGCTCAGCGAAGTGACAATCCTTGCTCCCAAAAGCCTTTGCGCCCCTTGCCGAGACATGGCTGAGGCCGGAGGGAGGAATTGAACTAGGACGAACTGTACCAAGGGAACCATCTACAGTTTTGCCTTATATAGGGCATTGACACAGGGGACAAAGTTGCATGGTGTGGAACCGCCAAGCAATAAGACACGCTATCTATGTTGTGGGCGTGGCTCGAAGCAGTGACGACGCAATGGGAGGTGGGTGCCTGGGTGTTCCGATGGCCATATGCAATGGGTGCAACGGGTCAATACAACGTACGTTTGACGGGTGAAGTACCTCAGTGCACACCTTCAATCCCCGAATTCTTCCCCCCCGAATTCGGTCATAACAAATGTACTACTGCAAATGAACGTTCATTTGGAGGTAATTATGAATCAGATACTAGCTAGTATAATTACTATATGCATGTATAACATGTTGTAAACCATGCTTTTCGTCCGACTTGACAGGACCAGGAGCGAGAGAAGACCGAGATGCGACCCTTGGAAGAGGCGGACGAGCTGGCCTCCGAGGCATCCGAAGCAGCTGTGGAGGTGCGAGCACGGGGTGTGACGATGGCTATCACTGGACCAAGCGTATAGATGGGGTTTGTCCTTTGTCCGTTCTTAACTGTAAAAGTCAGTAAACAATTTTTGGCTGTTTTTGAACTAGGCCTGCAACCTAACCATCATTATCCACTGTTACAGGTAATAGGATAGACCCGTATAGATTCAGGTTTGACCAGTAGGAGAGAGATGGAAATAGTGGGGCTTTGCATACCCTCAAAATGAAGACCTTGTTCTCAGTGCTTTGCGTTCAGAGCACGTTTTCTTTTTGTGAAAGGTGAGGTGCCTTTGTCAAGTGAGATGGTACGCCTAGTACGCCTGTTCCTTTCTCCTGAGATGGCACTCCTCCGGACCTGTAGGCCTTTGTTCTCACGAACCAAGCAGCGCCTCACTGCTTGGTTTGCCTGCGTTGATCGGCAGACCACACTTGTGGAGAACGGAGCATGCTGCGAGTCTCATCCGTGTGGAGATCTAACAACCTGGTGGTTTGGTCATACGGTTGCTGTCGCTGAGTTCCACACTGACAGGAACCGAAAGAGGAACTTCGTAGCCTCAGTGGCATTCCGAAGCCCTCGACTTTCAGGCCTTCTATGGAACTTCCTTCCTGAGGGTGCAAACCACGCTTTCCACTCCATTCTTCGCTAGGATCCCCTCCCTGTTCTGCATCTCCCACCAGGCAGCACCATTGACCTCTATGTATTCGAGGATAAACTCTTCGGACGCTAAGGCCGCTAAGTCTTCACCTTGGCTTTGCAAGGATCGAAACGAAGCGCCCTCGTCGGCGAGCACGTTTGCGTTCGCCCCAGCAAGCACGGAGTGCACCAGCGCGATTGGCCGGGGTACATGAGGTCACCTGTTCCTTCTCTCCGTCTTCTCGTTCTCCTCCAAAGATGGACGGTGCAGGGTCCAACTGTCGAAGGATGATGCCTTTTGGGGGACACTGGGGCAAGTACAAGGTCATCAGCTGTGAGAGAGGTTTCAAGGCCTCGATGGTCACCAACTTCTCCTGTGATCACTGCCAACAGCCTGGAGTCAACCTCCTCGACGGTGGTCTTACACCTCAACTTGTGCTCATAGCCTGCAAGTGTAGAGCGCGCCTTTCTGGTGAGCAGCTTCGCGGCTTCGTGAAGCAGCATTGCACCGAGACTGGGATTCTTGCACTTCTCGATATTCGTCCTCCCTCGAAGCATCCATATATTTAATAAAGGGGGCGGAAATGGATGCACTTACTTGCGGACATGATGCGCATCCACACATACCCTTGCCACTTGTGGCGGGTGTTGGTGGAAGTGTCGGGTGTGAAAAAGAGGATCCGAGCTAGCAGAGGTTTGTACAACTAAACAAGGAGGCGTGAGACCGAACGGCATTTGTCACAACAGTCTCAAGACGACGAGTAGCCCAGAAGGATCCCTGTTAATTCAACGGGATGCACCTAATTTAGGAGGGGCCAGGATGCACTATCGTATCGAAGTGCTTTTTCCGAAACAAGGCATAACGAACATGTTGGATAAAGGCGTCCTGCTTAATAGACGGCACCTCTGGGAGTGCAGGCCACTCGGGTGTGGAAAGCTCCGCAGGTAATGATGGTGCAACGATCTCTGTATGGAATGGCGGGTCATGAGGCATGGACTTAAGCATCTGGTGTATGTATCCATACGTCCTATCGGATCGGCATTCAGGGTGGGGCGGCGAGAAATGCCTCCTTCATGATAATTTGTGAAGCGAAGACGAGTTAAACTAGACGTTCCTTGTTTTTTGTAGGACGGGACTATATTCGATCGTGAAAATGTATTAATATGCTTGACAATCCAACGAAAGCGTTCTGCTAATACCCGGAGCGAACGCAACTTAAGCGGCAACAATTGAACCTTTTGATCATCGTAGTCGAGTGTCACATTTTGCGATCCATCTTTGAGCCGCACGGGGAGCATGCGATTCAACCACAACATGAATGAGATGGCAAGCTCCGTCGAAGATATACCCGGGTCATCCGGAAGGCTAGGTGCCGAGGGATCCGGCCATGACAACTTGGTACAAAATTGCCACACGAGGTAACACAGGTTTGTACCCCAGGTGCAACACCAAAACACAACTCTATGTGGTTCAGGTGGTAAAGCATATTGTGGCCCACGGGATTGCCAAGTTGTGAGTTTGGCTATCTGATTTTGAAATGCATCTACGGCACTGGTTGACAGGGCCCCGTCTGCGGCGTGTAAGGGCGGGACCCTTTTGGTTTCATCCAATTTTGACATTCGTGCAAAAGCAATATCCAAGAGGTATTGGTAAATTCTACCAAACTCTTCTTTAGTATCCAGGTCCTGGTAATGCTTACGAACGGTCAAGCACTTAGTATGGAATTCTGGGTCATTTGTGAGACGTGCCTGGGCGGAAATGGATGATTTTTGAACTTGCTTCTTGTAGGAAGGACTTGTGGCAGGTGTTGGCCAAATGAATTCAAGGCAGCCAGTGGAGAAGACAAGGTCCGAAGCAAACATCATTTATTGGAACAGCAAGTGACCTGAACAACAGCGGCACTGATAGGTCCACCCGGGTTTACCCAGCTCGTACAAGTTGTGATTTGCAGGGGTCACCCTTAGTTAAACCATGCTGGAATGAACATCACATTGAAAATGTTTTTCCAAAAGCTTTGTAGAAAGTACTGCACACCTGGAGCACCCTGAGCAGTTTTAACACACTCTTGAGCCGCCTGTAGTTCAACAGCAAGACAAAGACGCACGACAAGATTGAGGAACAGCAGCAGAAGAACGCCTCGAACAGCAGCAAAAATAACACAACATCAAAAGAACATGACATCGGCTCTATCAATAACAGCCACAACCACATCAACAATGACAATCACCACCACGGCAACAGCAAACAGGAGCAAGACCATACAATACCGTTTGTACGCGTGGAGGATCCATGGCATTGATTGCCCAAGCCATGCATTGTACCGTGGAAACATGTGGAAACGGTCCGACCAGACAACATCCGGGTGCAAGTCTTGATGATCTTGATGTTTCATGGCCATTCATGGCCCTTTTCCCGCAACAACGCCTGATTCTGCGGAATCCCTCAATTCTTGAAACCATCTCGTGTGCTTCTCCGTCGCATCGCACCGGTGCCCACAGGATGAACGGCGCGACACCGACTTTGACAATTTGGACGACGACGTCGGCTCCAAAGGTGAGGACCGCCGGTCGTGACTGGGACCGCGTCGTTGTCGGGCGGCGACTGGGACCCAGTCTAGGTCCAAAAACGACCAGGTTTTCAAGTGTTTTTGAAGGGTCCAGCAGGTAGAATAGAAGATAATAGAAGGTTGTCACTCTTTCACTTCATCAGTGCCGAAAAACGGTCGACGTCCGTGCCAGCTCCATCCTCGGCGGGGCAAAACTCCAACTTCGGAGAAACCATGAGGAACCTCACCTTGCAGGGAAGCCCAGCGGGCCTAGCACCGTGGCCGTGCGCGGCCCCTTCAGCGGTTTTGGGCGGTGGGTGTGGCCAGCCGCTGCTGCTGAAAACCAAAACCATTTGGTTTTGGGAGGTCGATTTGCAGACTCTTCCTTGATTTTGTTCGGTTTGGTTGGATGCATCCTCTGCAAAGCCATGCGAATTCAAGGGGTCTTGTTCAGACTCTCGATCCATTCAGGGTGTCCTCAGGAGTCCTTTGGGGTGTGTTTCGGACTCCGAGGGCCGCCGCGAACGCTGAGTTCGGCCTCCGTCCACGCGTGCGTTCACGTGGCCGCGCCGCGGTCGAGCGTTTTGGCGCTTCAGGTCTTCCACCGAGGTGAACGTTCTCCGGCAGAGCTTTGACATGCTCTTGGGCGCCATGGGCCATGACCGAGAGGCTGTGGGAGATGCCATCTACGGCACGAAGATTCAAGCCTTGGTGGCCATCAAGGACCACCCATGGGGTGCCCGTGGGCGGGCTGTGGGGGGGGGGAGGAGTGGAGGAACTGCGGTTGCTTCACAAGATGTTCACCAACAAAATGGATGAAACGGGATGTTCAGAGGACGCCTTTTTGATCTTTTTGGCTTGGCAAATGTTGCTTTCTTTGGCATGGCAAGGAGATCATCCAATGACTTAACGGTCTAAATGCTGATTGCAGTTTAATCTGGAAACATCCCCCGAGTTTCCTGGCACCAACAACTCCGCGAGGACAGCTTCACAACTCCGCGAGCCGTGGTGTCCTTGCGCTTTTTCAATTGCTTCCGGTTGTTGCTGGAGAAGGCTGACAATGAAAATGAGCTGAAGATCTATGTGGAAACCTTGGCCTTCAAGTTCCTTGGAAGCACAGGTGGCGGTGACACTGGTGAGTTGGGATCGAAGAGACTACGTAGCCTCCAACCTAATAGCTACTAGTAGCTTCTTGTTACCAGTAGCGATGGCCTCCAACCTAATAGCGATGGCCTCCACCTAGCGTCCTGGCTACTAGTAGCTTCTTGTTACTGGCTTCAAGAGACAAAGATTTGGTGGGTGGTGCTAACATGTGCTTCACAGAGCTTGGGGTCGGGGATCGCTTTGCAGTTGGGGATGGAAGCATTCCAGCTGCTTGCGGACAATGATGGAACATGTGTGGTTTTCAAGCATATTCAAGCATCCAGAACGAGGAAGAAGCTGAAACGAGATGAAACGACTTCTTATCGGAAAAAGATGGAAAAAGCCTTCCATAACCTTCCCAATCAGGACCTGTCATTATTACAATGCCCCGTACCTGACCACCCTGCCACGTGGGCTTCGCAGCCGACTCCAAGGCACTTGGGGAACGAGATCCTGGAGCGTCGTGTGGAAGCGTTCACTGAAGCATTCATCGAACTGCTTACGGTCAATGTGCCACCTGGCGATGAATGGGACATTTTCAAAGCGAAGGACGACATCTCTTCCCGTCGGGTGACCAATCCAAGTGTCACAGGAAAAACTCGCATGCCCGATGGCATGAGTTATAACACTTGTATTTTTATATATATATATATGTGTGTGTGTGTATGTAATATATATATATATATATTATACTATATTGATGTTTGTTATTTGCGTAGCTTGTAATTCTTCACTCAACCACTCGCTGTCTAGTGACTTAAGGGTGGATTGACAGGATGTTGGATGGACTGCTGAAGTTCTTCACTCAAATGAAAAGCAGGATGCGAGTTGTATCTTTTCGAGGCCCAACCTCCCTCCGGGCACTGCTGCCGCGTGGCGACAAATGTTGAGTTACTGCGGCTCGTGCTACAAGCAGCTGGGCCCAACGTTGGTGTGACGGGCAGAAGTCCACAATCAGGGACACACCTGGATGGGCTTCAAGTCCTTTTACAAGTCTTCACGCACGAAACCAATGCTGGAATATTAGGGAGAGAGTGGTACACCAGTCTCATGTTGCAGCGCCGGCCCATCGGCAGGTTCGTGGGCGACACCTATGGCGAGCGCTTGCGAGTGATCAAGGCAACTGAGATTTCTGGGCGGTCAATGGCGGGTTGATATAATGATATAATTGATGACTTTAGGTGTCCAGGTGGCCTTTCTCAAGTGCATACAGTTGGTGACGGATTTCAGATGCCTCGTGCGACCAAATGACCTTGCTCGTCGGCCAGGAAGATTGGGCTGCAGTGCAGAAGTCTGCCTCAGAGGATCATGGTGAGGATGAGGAAGCGGAGGAAGGTGGAATCTTGCATCAGAATGAGACCTGTTTTGCGTGTCTATACGGGAGGATATCGATTGCGTGCGGTGTTCTATAGTATAGGTAAGATGCTGTTCTGAAGCCTGATGGACCAGGGCAACCGACCATAATATCCATCCCAGATGTCCTTGGATCACACATCGAGCAGCCGATGCATGTTCGATCCCAAACATCTAAATAAAGACACAAAAGCTTCGGTTGCCCTCATGGTGTGGTTGTTTCGTCTCGGCTTCCCAGCAGAACAAACCCTCTTTGACCAGTTCACCGCCCAAAAAATACCTCGAGGTGAAGAGGGTGAGAAGGGCGAGAAGGTGGAGAAGGGTGCTGAGACCTTCAGTTTCGGACGCATGTGCGCCTTCAGCAACGAGGTGATGGGACAGAAGACTGAAGGTGGCGGATGGGAGGTGATGCGGAGGGGATCGTTGCGGGCGGTGGCTCCGGAGGGTCATGGACCATGGTTCCTTTGAGGGTGGACATAAGTGGAGATGTTCCGGAGCTGAAAGAAGTTGCAGGTTGTGTGAAGTGTGTACCAGGATGGCTGGGAAGCTCCAGACATCAATGTCACGGGTTCGGGTCATTGGAAGGCTTTAGGCTGCAAAGGCCCAGAGTGATATATCCCAGCACAACTCCTGCCCACCCAAGCAGGGCCATGTCCCGGTTTCGATGTCGACAACTTGACGTTTTCTCGGTATCTTGTGGGGGTGTGGAGGCTGGATGGAAGAGCTCCTGTCGGTCTTCCATGCTCCTTGAATGCGTGATTCAGAATGTGTGCAAGCTTCAGACTGGGGATTTGGACTGAATTCCCATTCTGGATAACAACCAAGACGGCCAGCTTCGTTGCCACAGGCAAAGCTTTTGGCGGTTCAGAAAGTGATGCCCAGCCAATGGAAAGGTGATTTCCATGAAAGAATCTGCAAGAATGGGACAACTGTCTCTATCCTATCCATTTAGACATCTACATGAACATATGTGCGCCAATGTCATAGAGAATAATCCATAGAATATTATTATAGAACATAATTGTTTGAGATCTTTGTTCTATTCCCATTATTGATCAATACACTACCGTGAATGAAGTCTCTTTTGAACACATTATATTCCTTTTCGATGTATCCTAATTTTGTTTTGCTGTGATTTGTTGTTTGATTTGGGTTCGCCAGTTCCCAACTCTCTACTCCCCTTCATTTCCCCTTCACCAATTCCCAACTCATCTATTCCGACAATCCCAAATCAAACAAAATCATGTTGATTCCTTTCACTCAGCTTTCGCCAATTCCCAACTCCCTATTCCAATCCCAAATCCTGGCCGCCGTCCAATGGTGAACTTTTGGGGGGTCAATCGTGTCTTAGAGTCTAGTCTAAACATGTTCTTTGCAGACGAAAAACGTGCCGTGGCGCTTGCACGTGCCCAGATTCTGGTGGAAATGATTTCCAGCCCCGTGCATTTGCAAGAGGAGACCATGCTCAATTTGTCGCAGGTGTCGGGTGACCCGGAAAAGAAGATAGATATCCAATTTCCTGAGTTTGCAGGACAACACCCTCTATCTTGCTTGGTCCTATAGGATTCTAAGTTGGTTGTTGAGCAATGCTTGTAGTCGATGAGTTGGTAAGCATGGCAGGTGACACTCGTGGGGAGCGCTGTTTTCTTGTACCAAGCGTGTGGACCTCTCATCCTGTTTTGGGATTAGCAACTTGGAAGAAAGCCCCACCCAGCTTCTTAGTGGTGTGGCCCTTGCTGTTACGTCTGTTGAGAACCACTGTTCGCCGTCGAGAGTGCAATCAAAAGCGCCAGGAGTGTGACTTGCTGGCCATCAACTTGATCGTGCGATCTCAGGCGGGTCAGGATGCAGCAGGTGGAGCCAACATGGACAGACTAAACATAGGCCAATCGTTCGGCTAGTAGTAACAAGTGCCTTACTAGTAGTAACAAGAAGCTATTAGGAACAAGTGCATCGCTAGTAGTAACAAGTGCCTTAC